ACTGCACTAAATTAAATTAAATAGGCATAATGATGCTCTGATGTGTTTGAAATCAAACACATCCACAGTATTCTTAGGAAATCATATTGTGCCATATTGCAACATAATTTATCACAATAACAACAAATATTGCCATATTGCCCAGCTCTTTGAGTGCAGTGAGCAGTGATGTGGTCAGTCTTGATTAATTAATCAATCAGAAGGCTGTTATAAGGGAACCACTAATCAATAACAACCAGTGGCGTAACTACAGACGGTTTAGTTTTCACAGTTTTACACCTACGACTCGTGAGCAGAAGGGCCTGATTGATCAGGTATCAATCAATATCCAGATCCTGCAGATTTATCGATATCTGCAAAATTCCAGCAATAAATCTCTGATTATTTATTTCTAGATAAACTTACTGAGTCAGAACTGTTCACAGTGGTGGTGATAGGAACCAGACGTCCACCTCTAAAAGCTCCCTCACAGAAAGTTCCTACATGAAATGGTTATGGATTCACTGCCTGATGACTGAGACACTGTTTTATGATAGTTTTGAGAACTTAAACTCCACTCATGGTGGAGGGATACATGCAGGGCGCTGTGAGGCAAAATAGTCCCCAAAGAAAATGTATTATTTCAGATTTTCCACTATTCCCACTATTTCCACTATTTTCCACTATTTTCCATCAGTAACATTCCATATAAACTCAGAAGACTCGTGTAGGTTCATTGGTGGTTCTGGATAGTAAATAAAATGTCTATATTTGTGTTGTAGTCATGGCGACCCCTGGTTCCTATCACCACCACTGTGAAGACATCTGAACCATTTCACACCAAACCTCTCTGAATCACTCTGTTTACATCTCACACACTCGGTTATAGAAAAATATGTGGAACTGACTGAAGCTTTTTCAGTTTAGGAAATGTGATAATGCAGCAGTGACGATAATATTAGTCAGTAAAGTGCTATTTAGATGAATTAAACAGTGGCTGATATTATCAATGATGAGAATTTTTAGCTTAAAATCAGTATCTGTCACAAAATGTTGTAATGGTTGGACCCTAATGGGAGGCTGTTAGCCTGCTTTAGAACACCAGCAAAAGGTTCTTTAAAGAACTATATACAGCAGTTTCTCCAACATGGAGAAGAAATATTTAATCATGCAAAGAACTGTGCACATTTTGTACATTAGACATATGACAACATTTATGGTTATCATAACAGTCTGCTTTTTTGATCATATGGTCAGTGCTTGTAGACACTGACCAACTGTATGTTTCATTTTATATATATATATATATATATATATATATATAAGAGTTTAGTTTGGTGTGAAACATTGTTCTAGATAAACTTACCGTGTCAGAATTGTTCACAGTGGTGGTGATAGGAACCACTTCTAAAAGCTCCCTCACAGAAAGTTATAGGGCCCAGTGTGTGTATGTGTGTGTATATATATATATATATATATATATATATATATATATATATATATATGTATGTATATATATATATATATGTATGTATGTGTGTGTGTGTGTGTATGTATGTATGTATGTATGTATGTATGGGTCATTCTACAGAAACGTCCATTTTTGTGTCCCTAGCATTTACAGATTTATTACACTTAAAAAATGTTAGGGTTACAATTTATTTATATTTCAAAATAAACTAAATAAGCTGTTTTAACAATGACACCTTCTTGAGCCTCAATTTAGCAATATTGGTTTTTAAATCAAATATCTAGAATTCCAAGTACCACAGAAGAGCTCGTCTTTACAGTCATGTGTAAAGGCTGAGGCCATATTTTGAAGAAAAACCATGTTTTTCTGCTATTTTAACTATAATTATCTGTACTTGGAATATATAAATAAATTACATAAAAAACCCAATGCCACATAAATATTATAAAATATATAATGAAAGTTCCCGAGGAGTCGTATCACTGGTGTTACCACGTAACTCTTATTTTGAAATAAAAGTCACACTGATGACATCACTTGACTTCCTTTTACCTGTTTTCTGAGGATCTATGAAGAAAAGCACATGGTGAGTCCACTGTGTCTTTCAGTTATCAGAGATTTTCTCTTTTAGCTCATGATTTCATATGAAGCTTTTAGCTGAAGTCACTGGTGCGACCGACTTTATTCTGAGGTAATTGTGGAAAAATAGAATACAAATGGATTAAATTACATATTTTAGTGGATATTCCATGATTGACAACATGTGGTTTGATGCTCTGTAGCAGTTATTTAGTAAAATGCATTTTTCATTAAAAATGTCTCTGGTGTTTCCTTTATTATGTGTAACACCAATGAGGATCGGTAACACCAGTGACTCCTATGGAGAGACAGAAAAGTGGACGTTTCTGTAGAGTGACCCACATATATATGCTGGGTCCTATAATATCCGAGTTATGCCAGTGATAGTAGTGCAGAGCTCTACAGCTAAAGCTAACTCGGCTGAAGAGTGAGTTTCTTTGCCTAAAGATCAGGAGAAGCTTTTTCAGTGAGATCTCTGACTCTCCGACTGGATAAACAGTCTCCATGCTGAGTGATCACACTCCACCGCTTGGACATTGAACTTTCACCTCTGGTGTCCAGGCATGTTTGCTTT